TTTGAATATTCTCATGTCCTGGGTATTGGAATATTCTCATGTCCTGGGTATTATAATATTCTCATGTCCTGAGTATTATAATATTCTCATGTCCTGAGGTTTTGAATGTTCTCATGTCCAGAGTGTTTGAATATCCTCATGTCCTGAGGTTTTGAATGTTCTCATGTCCTGGATATTGGAATATTCTCATGTCCTGGGTGTTTGACTATCCTCATGTGCTGCTGTTTGAATATTCTCCAGTCCATGCCAAATTCTCAGGTTCACTTCACAAATTCTCAAGCCCTAGAAAAATTTAATTTATTTTTTTGCCTCTGTAGGTCGTGATTAATGGAATAAGACCCTCAAGGTTTTGTTCCTTTTAAACAAAAAAAATGTGTATTTATTTCTTACTGAAAGTCCCCAAATCATTTTTTTTTTTTTTCCCCGAAGATTTTTGGTTCCACCCTAGAGCAAAGTGAGTGTGAGTCCAAGTTTCTGAGTGGCCAGAACAGAGAGCTCAGTCCCCATCCCTGCCTTCCCAGCCTTCAGGAATGAGGCTGGATTGATATTTTGGAAGTGATGCACCAGCTTATAGATAACAGGATGCATTTCCCAGCCTCCCACTCTGATCCTAAATCTGGGACCTGCTGACATCTCTGCTTTGGGCTCCTGCATCACCATATTCCCCCCTCGGAATTCAGATTTCTGGTGATGATTCACAGGATTTGATCCAGGGAGGGCCATCACCTCGTGGAGTTTGGCTCCCTGCATTTCTTGGGCCCTCTTGTTTCACACAGTTCTCCCACTCCTGAGCTCAGGAACTGCAATTTATCCAAAATACATTTTCCACGAAGGCATCCAGGCTTCCTTTGGGGTTAAGGACATTCATTCCTTGCAAAACTGAAGTTTCATCACTTCCCTGCTGATCTTCTCACGATTAATCCCCTCTACCATCAAAAGGTGAAGTCCTGTCTCCTGTCTGAATACCTCCAGCATTAAGATTAATTTGATTCTTCCCTTTCTTGCTTATTAAACTCTTCTGCATCCAGCATTTTTCCCTTGTGGAAGGACTTTTATCCTAGTTCAAGCCAACACTTGAATCTTCTCTGATAAACTAAACAGATTGAGCTCTTTGAAGTCCTTTCAATCTGGCACATTCTCCAGCCTTTGAATCATTTTAATGCCTGTTTCCTGCTTAAAAGGTATTTTTACAGCCACAGATCACTGTGCAATAAATTATGACCTAACTGGAAATAAGGAGGTGGGTAAAACCACCTTTTCCCACCTTTTTTTACCCCTCTCATCCTCAGGGAGTCAGAGGCTGCAGCAAAACTTTCAGGAGTTAATATTGGAGGCCTTTTCCAACCTTAATGATTGTTTGAAATTCATAATAAAAAGGATTTTCTTGTTTCTGATCCAGTTTTCAAAGCGCTGACCCGCCTGAAACTCCTTTTTTTGAACATCCCTGCAGTGAAGGCAGGAGAAAAATAGTTGCAACAAAAATAGTGCTGACGTCTGGAATCGGGAGATATTCCAGATTCCAAGTGAGGTACAGGGAGCTGGGGAGGGAGAAGGTGCCATTTCTGTATGATCACATGTCTGCTCATCTCTGTGCCCTCAGGAGAGGAGAGGATTTAGAGATGGGAAGCGTGTGACAAACAGGGAGAGAAGAGATGGGCGAGAAATGTGGGTAGAGCAGGCAGTGGGGAGGCAGGAATGGTGGGAATTCAGAGCTGCTCCAAGGCAGAAGCATCAAAACTCCATCCAAATCCTTTCTAGGAGCAGACCCAGGGACGGTTAATGCCGTAAATTTGCTACTGTCTAATTTTGGGTAATCCTGAGGGTACTCCATTAGTAGCTCCTGGAGACTTCCCTGGATTTTTAACCATGCTCAAGAGCACACACTCATCATGGAATTGTAGATCATGGAATGGTTTGGGTGGGAGGGGACCTTTAGGACCATGCAGTTCCAGGGCAGGAATTCCTTCCACTATCCCAGATTGCTCCAAGCCCCATCCAACCTGGCCCATGGCAGGGGTTGGAATGAGATGAACTTTAAGGTCCCTTCCCACCCGAACCATTCCATGATTCTGTGGCTGTTCCAAAGCCTGGATCAGCATCAGGGGCAGACCAAAGCCAAGGAGGCAGAGCTAGGAAATCTTGAATTACGCAGCCAGAAAAACAGAGGTGAAATCTTAGCTATGCCGAGGTTGTGCTGCAGCAGAGGATGAAGCAAAGGTGGGATTGGAGCATCCTGAAGATTTCAGTGTCAGTCTGGAGAGTGCAGGGCTGTGCTGCCTTCAGGGAAGGGCTGGAATTTGGGAGATGATTTGCCTTCCACTGGGGCAGATGCCTCCAGTGGCATTTGCAGCAAAGGCTGCAGGGCTTAGCCTAAGTCAGCCTTGAGCTTGAGTTTATTTAAAACCACCCGAAGGCATGGATGTGAGAAGGGAGATCTCGGGAGCAACCTGGGCCTCCAGCTGCATCCAAGGACAGCAGGAATAGGAACAGCTCCAAGGCCTTGGAGGAGAGGACACAAAACGTGGGCTTGATGAAGGCAGTGGGTGATTATCCCAATTTGGGGCCATTCTGCTGCTAATTAATGCTTCCAAGTGCCTGGAGAGGCAGAACTTTCTGCCGGGCTGAGCTCAGAAGTGTCTCCAGGAGTGCTGAAAGCAAATGTGTGTCTTTCTTTGATCAAAGACCATTAGCATTGCTCTCGGCTACATAAACATCTCCCTGCTCCACTCGAATTATCCGACCCAAAACTCAAATCTTTGACTATTCATCACTTGCTGGGGGCAAATCCTTTCCCAAGTTCAGCTTGTTGGCTTTGGGGTTTGGTGGGGGTTTTTTTCCACTCGATACTTTTTTTCCCTTCTGACTTTGCCGAGCCTTCCCCCCCGCAAATAAAGCGAATCATAACTGTACAAATAAAAGGAATGTAATTTCCCAGCCCTCTCAGGAGACGCTCCTGCTGAGAGAGACAGAGCCAAAGCTGTCAACTGCGGCAGCACTGACAATGTCCTTCTCTGCAGGAACCCCCTTCGCAGGCTCTCACAGCAAGGACATCTCTGGGCTTTGTAATGATCAGCCACGTTTCCCTAGTCGTGCTTAATAGCTGTTTTATGTGCATTTATAAGCTGGGCTTTCCCCCTCCCTCTTTGATCTGCCTGCTGGAAAAATCATTTGCAGCCTTTCCCCACTTCCCAGGTCACAATCCTGAGCGCGGGGGCGGTTTCGTGGGAGAGGGGAGGCCACGTGTTGGAGCTTTTTCGGGTCCAGCTCCCCATGGATAAAGGTCAACATCATAAATCCTCGGCTGGGTTTTGATCCCGATCGTCCCCGCACTGTAAAGGGCCCAGGGAACAAAGACTGGGCTTGTTATCCCGCTCCTGATGGTTTTCCTGCCTGAGGATTGAATCCATCGCCAAGGCCACGTGAGAGTAGCTCGGGTTGTGTCCATGTGAGGAGATTCCAGGCATCCAATGCCTCCCCGAGTCAGGATTAATGAAATTCCTAAAATAAAGAGGTGGGAAGGCAAAATTCTGGTCTGACCAAAGCACATGAGGCACCACACACTCTATTCCCAAAGAGTTCCTCTGGAGCCAGGATGGGAGAGCTGGGGGTGTTCACCTGGAGAAGAGAAGGATCCAGGGAGAGCTTAGATCCCCTTCCAGAGCCTAAAGGGGCTCCAGGAGAGCTGGAGAGGGACTTGGGACAAGGGATGGAGGGACAGGACCCAGGGAATGGCTTCCCACTGGCAGAGGGCAGGGAGAGATGGGAGATTGGGAAGGAATTGCTGGTTGTGAGGGTGGGGAGGGGCTGGCACAGGTTGCCCAGAGAAGTTGTGGAATCCACATCCCTGGGGGTTTTGGTTGGGAGTGACCTTAAAAATCATCTCATTCCACCCCCTGCCATGAGCAGGGACACCTTCCACTATCCCGGGTTGCTCCAAGCCTGGCCTTGGGCACTTCCAGGGATGGGACATTGAGTCCAGGGGGGTTTCATGAGCACACTGATAACTTCCTGACACGGATCATCAAGGGACAATCAACAAGGGAAGAGGCTCTGCTGGACCTCCTGCTTCCGAAGAAGGAAGGGATGGTTGGGGATGTGAAGGTCAGGGACCTGGAGATGATGGAGTTCAGGATACTGAGAGGGATAAAAAGCAGGATCACAGCTCTGGAATTCAGGAGAGCAGACTGAGGCCTCTTCAGGGATCTGTGTAGAAGAATCACACGGGAGAGAAGAGAGGTCCAGGAAAACCGATTGATTCCCAGGCTTTAGGAATTCTTTCAATGCTCAAAGAATAGATGAGCTGATGAAGTGCAAATGGAGAGGGAAATGGACTGAAAACTGGGACACATCAGGAAGAGTGAAGGTGGCAGGTCAAGGGATATGGATTCTTCCCCTCTCCGCAGTGCTGGTGAGGATAGACCTGGGATGTTCTGTCCGTTCCTGGGCTCCCCAGCACAAGAAATAACATGGACTTACTGGACCAAAGCCAGCGTAGGGCCACAGAAATGATGAAGGAATTGGGGAATCTGATGTTCAGGGAGGTTGTGGTGTCTCCATCCAAGAAGATACTCAAAGCTCATCTGGGTTTTGAAGCCTTTAGTTGATCCCATCGGGGAGTTCGGACTGAAGGATCTCCTCAGGTTTCTTCCAAACTCACCCATTCAGGTCTCCTCTTTCTGTTTTGTAGTTTGGTTTTTTTTAAGCTGTATTTTCCTCAGGACATATGGAATCCCCTTTAAATATTCCGTTTTCTTTGTGTGTGTGTGTGTGTTTTCCAGGTATTTGAAGAAAGAAGAGCCCTCCTTGGAAAATGGGTAAACTTTTCCCTTTAAATATATATTTAAATACGGATGAATTTTGGGGCTGATCGAGGGATTATCTGATGGGGATGTAAAGCTTACATCCTGTTTTGAAAAAGGGATTCATTTTCCTGATGGGAAAGTGAGCCATGGCCTGACAGAGGGTCTTTGAAATCTGTAATAAATGACATTTTATCTACCAAGTGCACGCATAGAATCATGGGATGGTTTGGGTTGAAACTGGGGCTTATCCTTTATGGTTAATAAGTCATTAATGACATTTTTTTTGGCACGTGGACTGGTCTTTACAGGCAAATATTTTGATTTTAAGGATTTTTTGGTCATTATAGGAAATATTTCCATAACTTGTTGGCATGAGTGCATTTTGATGATAAGGAATTTCAGGGACACCAAGAAAACTAAATAATTGAATGATTATTGTTCATAAAACACCTTTTCGTGTGATATCAGCAGCTGAGAGACCTAAACCCCTTGGAAATCCCTTGGAAATTGCTGGCAAAGGGGCAAAGATGTTTCTATTAGAACTGAAAGAAGGAAAATGTGGGAAGAACATTCCCAGAGACCTGAGAAACCCCAAACGTGCAGCAGCTCTGCCGAAACTGCTGGGAATTCTGCTGGATCACCAAGTGGACACGAGCTGCCAGTGTCTTGCAATGGCAATAAGGGGAAATATCCCCAAGTCATTCCCAGTTCTGCTCCCTGCATTTTGGGAAAGCTGAGGACCAGCCCGAGACACTCTGAGAACAAGTCAAGATGTGAGAACAGATTCAGGTCCAGAAAATATGGAAACAATCCCTGTACTGAAGGGAAAATGGAGGAAAGATGTAGTAACATCTAAGGATGCACAAAAGAGGTTCAAAAAGGGGAAGGGAATGATTCTTGTGTTCACACTGGATGGGACAAGAAATCAAGGGATTGAGTTGCAAGAGCAGAGACACAATTCAGACATGAGCAAAATCCAGTTCTACAGATAATTCCCTGCTGGAATAGGTTGCCTAGGGGTGGAATCTCCATCCCTGGAGTCCTTTGAGAACAGGCTGGACAAACACTGTCAGGAATGGTTTAGGAAGAGCAAATCTGAACCAGCTCAGCGTTCCTCAACTTTTTCCACTGAAGGACCATCCAAACTTCTGGAAAAGCAGGTGCTGGGTCTCCAACAAATCCCTCCATTGGCGAGAAGATGGCTGGGGAGGGAGGGGGGGGAATTGTATCTCCATCCACTTGGCAAAAGAGCCTCACTGAGTGGAGAATCCATTCCCACTTCTGTGGAGCATGGGGATGCCTGTGGATCGTAACCCCTGACCTCGGGTCCATGTGCTGGTCTGGAGGTGAGAGTTGTGTCCCTTCCCAGTTCCAGGCAGGGAAACACCCGTGTCCCCCAGCAGAGAGGGGCCTCTCTGGGATAAGCTGCAGGCCCGGGGCTGGCCCTGGGTGTCAGGCTTCTCGATTTGTGTGTGTGCACTCAGGGATTAATTGTAAACCGATCCCAGGAGCGGGGCCGAGCAGTGCCAGCACTGATGTCACACCATCCCTGGGGAGACATTGTTTGCCAGGGCTTTGGGAAAGGCCCAGACGAGGGGAAAAGCCGTTCCTGGCTGTGGGGAGAGAAGGTGAAGTGAAGGGAATCCGGTTGGACTGGTTGGGTTGCCGGGATCACAGGCGAGGGGAGGATCTGTGGGGAAAGGCAGCCAAATGTGGGATGGGGACATGCCTGTTAACTGCTGGAAAAGACACAAATTCCACCAGCTTAACTCCTTGGCTGCTGCTGGATGCGATGGAGAAGGGGCCGAGTGCTCCTGGCACTGATTTAAACGGAGCTTCCCTGGCACAGGGCGCTGGAAGGAGTCACTCTGTTGGAAAACCCTTGGTGGGATGGAAGGGGTTAAACGGGAGCAAATCCGTCTCCCGGCAAGTGAAGCCCGATTTGTTTTGACTGGTTCACTCGAGCTCTTGATGTGGAAGAGAATGAGCCAGTGACTCCCTTGTCTCTGGAGCTCGGAGGAGGAGAGAAACTTAACTTGGCAAATTGGGGATTGGGGATTGTTTTAATGAGAGGAGGACATGGATGCTGCCCTGAACGGGCAGTGTCTGCAGCATTCCTGGGACAGGGAAAGCCTTTTCTATCCAGCTGAGGGGGAGAAGGGGACAGGCAAACCCTCCTCTGTCCCCCTCGATTTTATTTGTGACAGAACCACAGAATATTCCCAGCTAAGAAGGGACCCACAAATTCTCTTTCCAGGCCCCAAATCCCAAGGTCCTGCTTCAGTTTTTCCCTGCTAAACATCATTAGAGGTGGAAGTCCTGTGCAAAACGGGGATGAGAGGAAAGGGGAGTATTCCTTAAATTCCATTTGTGTCTAAAAAGGGGGATTTGGGAGCTTTTCCCTATTTGACTTCTCATCTCTCTGGGACATCAGGAATGCCAATTCCATCCTTCCTTCATTCCGACCTTCTCGAAGGTCTTGCAGAGGGGTTTGCAAGAAAGGGAAGAGCTGTTTACTCTCCGGTGCTGGAATTCATCCAAGTAAAAATACAGAGTGAAACAAAGAGTTCTTCACGATGATCAGGAAAGAAATCACTTCTCAATTACCTTTCATCTGCACAGGATATTTTAAACTATTATTCTGCCAGAGCATAGATTTGTTAGGGGGGAAGAAGAGGGAAAACAATCTGACTTTCTAGTCTGTTTTGTTCTGAAAGAAAAAGGAAGGGACACAGGACATTAAACCATTTACACATAGGAATAAAGAAAACCCTGGAAAAAAGTAATTTTTCTTAATATTTTTCATTTTTGGAGGTCACTTTTAACCAAGGACTTAAATGTCCCTGAGGTTAAATGCAGAACTGAATGTGCTGTGATGGGACCTGCAGAGCAAGTGGAAATTTGGCTTCGGGAAACAGCCCTGTGAAAAAAGAGGCTGTGTGGTTTGGGGATGGCCAACCTGGGAGAAGGAAGGAAAGAGGGAAAAGCAGCATTCCCCAAGGAGGGGAATTCCCCAAACTGTTCAGTTTTCCCTTTGAAAAGATGGTGAGTTTGGGTCAAGGCGGCTTCTGCAGTGCAGGGAAGGAGGATCATTGAATACCAGGATGGTTTGGGTTGGAAGGGACCTTAAAGATCGTTCAATTCCAATCCCTGCCATGGGCAGGGACACCTTCTACTATCCCAGGTAGATCCAAGCCCTGTCCAACATTCACTTCCAGGGATTCAGGGGCAGCCACAGCTTCTCTGGGAATTACAGACCAGACTCTCAACACCCTCCCAGCCAGTAATTCCTTCCCAATCTCCCATCTCTCCCTGCCCTCTGGCAGTGGGAAGCCATTCCCTGTGTCCTGTCCCTCCATCCCTTGTCCCCAGTCCCTCTCCAGCTCTCCTGGAGCCCCTTTAGGCACTGGAAGGGGCTCCAAGGTCTCCCTGGATCCTTCTCTTCTCCAGGTGAACTCCCCCAGCTCTCCCAGCCTGGCTCCAGAGCAGAGGGGTTCCAGACCTCAGAACACCTGTGACCTCCTCTGGACTTGCTCCAGCAGCTCCTCATCCTTCTGCTGTTGGGATTCCCAGAGCTGGAGGACAAAGCAGCTGGATTTCCCAGGAAAACAGGCAGGGGGGAAGCTGGAAACCCCCATCCCGCCCTGTGCTGACCGTGCTCTTTCAGTGTAAAACCATCCCCTTGTCCTGTCACTCCTGCAAACGGGATGAAGCAGCACTTGTCCAAACCCCACATTTCACCTCAGGAAAGCCACGTTTGGCCCTGCCATTCTGCTGCCTGCACTTCCCACTGGGGATTCCTGCTGCTCCTGCCTGCTGGTCCTCTGGCACTTCCTCCCTGCTGGCACTCAGGCGCTGCCCCCGGAGCCAGGACCGCTCCGGCAGGTTTGGAGCCGGATTGCAGCGATTGTGGGGATGAGGTCAGGCTGCTCCCAGGAGATTCCTGCTGACAGGGCCCTTCCCATGGCCTGCTATCAACACCGGTGCCACACCAGCCACCGCCACCGATGCTCCCACCCAGCTGACACCACCTGTGCTCCTGTGCTTCCCTGGGGGCTCAGTTCTTCCACAACTGGGTTCATCCCCCTCTTTAGGTACCTGCCAGGAGCATGGAAATGCTGCCAAAGGTCTCTGTGACTGTGCTCCTGGATCTGGGCACAGTCCTGGACCATCTGGGCACAATCCTGGACCATCTGGACACCATCCTGTGCCACCTGCTCCGGGATGACCCTGCTCGAGCAGGGAGGTGGGATCAGATGGACCCACTATGGTCCCTTCCAACCCGACCCATTCTGTGATTCTGGGATTTTGGGATTCTGGGATTCTCTGCTCTGTGCTGTAGGTTCTCCTTGTGACACACGAGCAGCTCATTTAGTTTCTCTTTGCTCCTCTTCTCCATGGTGGGGATTTCTCTCCTGCGCAGTGGGAATGGGAGAAAAAATACTTCACAAATTGTGAGGCACTCAAATATTGCACTAGTGGGGGGAATGGAAGTGTCAGGAGAGACAAGGAATCAGCAAGAACTCAAGATTTGGGACCTAATCCTGTAAACACCCATCTGAATCTCCTCCTTCCCATGAGTGAAGCCAAGTCTCGGAGCTGGTCCCAGGAGCAAGGAGTCTTGGAAGCAGGAGTGAGTCCTGGACTGGGCCATCCTGGATCCTTTGAGGATTATAAATCACATGTTATGTGGCTTCAGAGTTGCTTTTCATGCAGCCTCTCCGTTTGTTCCCAGTTCCTTTGCTCCTGGATGAGTCACCAGAAGCTGCTGCTCGCGCACTTTCCCTGCCCTGAGCGTGTGCTTTATTTTAAGGAGTTGAAGCTCTGCTTTTACTCTGAACCTGAAACTCCCTCTTTTCAGTTTGACAAGTGGACAGATGGGCAGAGGAGGAGGATCCTGGTGGACCTGCTGGAACGCTGCTCCCTGGCACAGCAGAAATTCTGCTCCAGGCAGCTCCAGGACCGAATTCCCACCGAGGCCATGGATTTTACCACGAGGCTTCCTCGAGTCCTGTCCTTGTACATCTTCTCCTTCCTGGACCCACGGAGCCTCTGTCGCTGTGCACAGGTAAAAAAAAGCCCAACTTGAGGTTCAAAGTGGTTAAAAAAGAGGAAACCACCAGTTTTTGGTGAAGACACACCAGTGCTGTTCCTCGGAATGCACAGAGCTCTGACTTGGCAGCTGCTGCCAAGTGCTGAGTGATGCTTGTTCCTTAGTTCCTAAATTAAGCCAGACTTCCAGCCAAGATTTACAGAAGTGAAGAGTAATTTGAGATGCTAAAGCATTTAGAATGTGGCACTTTCAAGGCTGGTTATTCCCAAAAAGGAAGCCTGGCACTTTCTGAAAGTCACATTCTTCTAAAGTACCTTGCACTGTGTGCAGAGGCCTTAATTCTTTGGGAAACATCAGTTTGTGCTCTTGCAAAGAACCACCCACAGAAAGAAAAAACAGATCCTTTAAAATGCTTCAGGGTCAAGTGTTGGATGTGGAGAATCTGAGAAGTTACAGGTGTGATTTGGAACCCAGTGGCTGAGACTCCAAAAACATGTTTGCATGAGAGGAAGTGCTGTGAGATGCTGCCCAAAGTGAATGACAAAATTCACATACTGGTGACATTATTGCTGCACTTACATAATATTCCATGTAATATCAAGAATATATCAAAATCTCAGCTTGGCTAAACCTTTGCTGTCATATCTTTCTCCAGTGGATGCAACTCAAACTCTCCATTCACAGGCAGGTTAGGAAATTACTTGGAAACATGGAATATCCTGAGTTGGAGGGGTCCCATGCCAGGAAGATCTTGAATGGTTTAAATGGTTTAATCGAGGGTTTAAATGGTTTAAACGAGGGTTTAAATGGTTTAACCAAAGGTTTAAATGGAGCATTAACGTTGCTGAGGAATTGGTTTAAGGATCCAGGGGAATTACACCCCGAGCACGGGAGTCTGTAGCTGGAACCTTGGATGCTTGAAACCCTGAGGGTTTTCAGCTTTCAACTGGGCATTCCCAGGTGAGCTGGTACTGGAAGTACCTGTCTGAGCTGGATCAGCTCTGGATGATGAAGTGTCTCCGTTTTGGCTGGTACATCAACTTCTGCCCAACGCCCTTCGAGCAGGGAATCTGGAAGAGGCATTACATTGAGATGGTGAGAGAGCTGTGGATCACCAGGCCAAAGGTACGTGTCCAGCACCTCTAGAGTGGGACAACTGGGTGGTCTGGTTCCCGACCCTTTTCCCTCCGTGTATTTTTGGGATTCTCCTGCCCTGAATTCAAAACTCGGCCCTGGAGTTTTAAAGGATGGAGTTTAAGCAAACTCCCTCTGTAGTCAAGAGGGAGAAGCCAGTGCATCTCAAGAGCAGCTCAGCTCATCCTAGTGTAGGTTATGGGACATGGGACAAGCACTGTCAGGGGCCTGTTTCCCTCCACAGTCCCTAATGGACCTTGGGAAAACTAACGTTGATTCCCAATTATGATAAGCCTAAAATTGGGCTAATCTCACTAAAACTTATTTTCCTTATCTGCACCTCTCCTCCCAGCCTCTTCCCAAGGAGGAGTTCGCCGTTATCGACGTGCAACCCGTCGGAAGCGACGCCCCGGAGGCGAAACTTCCCGTGCACGGAAGGAGGAGAACCAAGGAGAAGAAAGAGCTCCCCCCTTGGCGCTCGTCCGACAGACACCCCACGGACACCGTCCGCTACAACTACCTGGACAACTGGGACCCCATCGAGCAGGCGAGGCAGGCGTAAGGGCTCCCTCTCTTCCGCTTTCTCCGGGACACGGGATGTGTTTTCCAGCTCTTCTGGCTGTTTTTGGGGGTGGGTCTCGGTCTGGTTGTAGTTGGAGCTGTGCTGCTTTGTGTCTGTTGTGTCCGTTGTGTCCTTCCAGGAGCGGCTCGTTGGAGGCTGTGAGTCCTGGGGGATGTGGTGGGATCTGCAGTGGGAGAATCAGGTGTGAGCTCATGGGCTCAGCCAGGGGTTTGACTTAAAAATATCGGGTGCTTTAATACCTGGAGATGGCACAAAGAGAATCGGCCACGGGCTTGTTCCCAAGAGGGGATAATTATTGATAATTTAGGGGAGAAAATAAGGGAACTTGGGAAAAGTTCCTAAGGGCACCACACGAGCTGGACGAAAATGTTCTGCCCCAACACTGAGCCAGCACAGATGAATCCATGAGACCTGAGTCAGAATCCAACCCCTCCATAACACTGGAGTTAAAATCCAACCTCTCCAGTTCCAAGGCACCCAAAGCATCAAGAAAGGAGCACAGGAAGAGAAGCAGAGGGAGCAAGAAGAGAGGAGGAGAAAGAGGGAGAGGCGGATTATGGAGCTGCCACTGGGACCTTGGGGAAGACCGGGGGCTGCAGGAGCTGTGGGGTGTTATGGGGCAGTGTCCTCACTGTCCCCATAGGAGCTGTGGGTGTTATAGGGCAGTGTCCTCACTGTCCCCATAGGAGCTGTGGGTGTTATAGGGCAGTGTCCTCACTGTCCCTGTGAGCTGTGGGTTGTTATAGGGCAGTGTCCTCACTGTCCCCATAGGAGCTGTGGGGTGTTATAGGGCAGTGTCCTCACTGTCCCTGTGAGCTGTGGGGTGTTATAGGGCAGTGTCCTCATTGTCCCCATAGGAGCTGTGGGGTGTTATAGGGCAGTGTCCTCACTGTCCCCATAGGAGCTGTGGGGTGTTATAGGCCAGTGTCTTCACTGTCCCTGTGAGCTGTGGGGTGTTATAGGGCAGTGTCCTCACTGCCCCCATATCAGCTGTGGGGTGTTATAGGGCAGTGTTCCCACTGTCCCTGTGAGGGGCTGCAGGAGCTGTGGGGTGTTACAGTTTTCCCAGGCTGTGACTGCCAGCTACTCTGGGAATTCCCCAAGTGGATCCAGGGGCTGCCATGAGGGACATGACCCCACCCATCCCTTCCCCCTCCACACACACCCACCCCCACCCCACAAGGTGGTTCTGACCCAGCAGTCACTGCTCTCATGTCTGACATTAGGACAAGAGTTTGCTGAAGTCTTTCAAAATAAAGCTGCAAAGTTAGAGGAATCTGCAGTTTTTGCACAAAGGGATGAATTAAATGTGATGGAACAGAATTCCATCACTTCGGGGATACTCTAGTTACAAAGAGGTTTTGGTGATCGAGCTGGGGGGCAGGTGAAAGAGGATGTGTGAACTATAGAACATTTAAGTAATGAATAGTGTCTGTGCCCACACTGCCTGGATCCGTCGGTTCCTGGGCTCCCGGGATGACCTGGTCAGGCACTGGGAAAAGGAAAAGCATTTCCACCCCAAAGGAGAGTTTTGCACATGGATCTGTGTCAGGACAGCCCCACGTTTTCCTTTCCATCAGATCTCTTCCAAATCTTAGGTCTGTGGTCACGTTCCTATGCTTTTAACAAGCAGCAGCAGGAGCAATGAGGAGGCTGCAGGAGCCACCTGTGGGAAGTGTTTTCCCATTTCTTGTTCAAGTCCCTGTCAGTGCCACCTCTGATGTTTCCCGGGCTTGGGGCAGCCAATGGGAAAAGCTGACACTGCCACGGATCCGAGCCCAGGGAACAGGAGCTGGATCAGCCTGACCATTGCCCGGTTCCTGTGGGAATCCCTGTGCAAAGGACTGCCCAGGCACAGCTGAATGTGCAGAGAGCAGGAGATTCCTCCTCCCCGTGCCAACAAAAACCTTGGGAACCAACCAAGCCCCAGTGAAAGCGCCCGGCTTGTATTAAAGTAAATAACTGATAGAGCCAAGATTATCCCCGTGCACAGGAACAATCAGCCCGTGAATTACCCCAGCCAGGGATTATTTGGCAGTTGAGCTCCTGTGCAGCTCTTTCCCAATGTGATTAACTCTGCTGGACCCACCACTCCTCCGGGCTGTTCCACAGCGTTCCCAGTGCCGGAGCAAAAGCCTTTTATGAATCACGTTTTAATCCGCGTCCCCCGGTCCCTGGGTATTGCACTACTTCAAAGAGCTTTCCAGTTTCCACCTCACCCTCTTTCTGTGGTGTGTTTCCAAACTCCAGCACCACTTTTAGGCCGAGTTCTTTGAGGCTTTTCACTAAATGTTTGGACAAAACGTCTCCTGTCGCAAACGAATGTCCCGGCGTTGTTTTCCAGTTGTTCTAAACGTTTTTTTTGGGCAGCAGCCCCCAAAGGTTTATGCGGGGTTTAGGGTTCTGCTGTGCTGGCCATGAAAAAAAAAAAAAAGTGGAACAAACCCTGTTTAAAGAGTTGAAAAGTCATTTTTTCCCAGCGTGGAGCCGTAGATGCAGCTGAGAACCAAATGCAAACAATTCTGAGTTGGTAATGACACAGCCAACCCACTCACTGTGTTCTCCTCCTAAGTGAGAGCTGAGCCTCTCTCCATTTGTGCAATGTTGCAGCAAATCTGGCATTTATCCTCAATTATGGAGGATTATTGCAGGGAGAGAGTGGAATTCTGTGAGATTTGCTTGTTTATCGAGGATCTGCCTTTAATATCACCTAAGCTGGAGGTAATTGCTGCTGCCTGGGCTCCTCTGCAATGATTATTCAGCAGCACAGGTGCAGCATTTCAGGTGCTGACCCAGCTTCCCGCTCACACAATGATGTTTGGTGCTTCTTTTCCATGGATACGTCGCCACCTGAGTCCCCTCTGCTGCCCCTTCCCAGAAATCCTCCCAGAAAGGCTCTTTATTGTGTTCCCTGCCCTTTGGTCAGGGTGTCCCTCTGGGGAGTGCCAAGCCTTGTTCTGAACAACCCACAGACCCCAAACTGTGTCCAGGTCCAGCTGGCTGAGCTTGGAATCTCCTGGGAATGCTGTGGAAGCTGCTCCACCCCCGGCACAAGCTCCAGGCCCGGGCAGACCCTGCCCTGACCGAGGGAGAACAGAAACCCGGGATAACAATCTCCGCCCCCCCGGGCGGTGTCAGGTGCGGGTTGTTCCTCAGATTAGATGGATTCTTGGAGCTCAAGGGCACAACAACCACCCCTCATGTAAAATGGATGTCAGAGGTAACGAAACCTGTGTAAAATGAGACGCTAAAACAATTTCCCAGGGTTTGCCGAAGGGAGTCGGGGAGAGGAAGCGGGATTTGCTGCAGCCCCGGGTGAAGATAGAGAGGGAGGAGGGTTTTCTTGAGGTCACGGGAATGTGTGAGGGGACGTGGCAGGACTTGCAGGAAAGCAGGAGAGAGACAAAATGATGGCAGAGAAGGAATGACGGGAGAGAGCACTCGGAGGGTGGAAACCTGAGAGCCAACAAACCACTGGAGTTGTGCTGTGCCAAGGAAAAGCGGGCTCGGAGGGAGCTCTGTGAACAAACAAGGATCACATCAAAGGGATTCCTGACGCCACCATCAAAGCAAGGTGTGAGGCCGGTCACTGGATCAAAGTTAATCCGCCTAATTTCGGGGTAAATTGTGCAGAATTCAGGAGGTAATGAAAAAAAATCCAGTTTTTCGTCACTCTTGGAGCTGGTTAAAATGTCCCCGGAGCTCGGGCTCGCTCTGCAACAGGTTTCTGGTCCAGGGAGAGGGGAGGACTCTGCTGGTCATTGAGTCAGGGGGGCCCTGCTGGAATATTGGCTTTTAATGGCAGAGTTCCTGGAATCCCAGAATGGTTTGGGTGGGAAGGGATCTTAAAGCTCATCCAGTTCCACTTCCCTGCCATGGGCAGGGGCACCTCCCACTATCCCAGGTTGCTCCAAGCCCCGTCCAACCTGGCCTTGGACACTTCCAGAGTTTCAAGGGCAGATACAGCTTCTCTGGGCAACCTGTGCCAGGGCCTCCCCACCCTTCCAGCCAGGAATTCCTTCCCAATCTCCCATCTCTCCCTGCCCTCTCCCAGTGGGAAACCATTCCCTGTGTCCTGTCTCTCCATCCCTTGTCCCCAGTCCCTCTCCAGCTCTCCTGGAGCCCCTTTAGGCTCTGGAAGGGGCTCCAAGCTCTCCCTGGATCCTTCTTTTCTCCAGGTGTCCTCATGAATCCAGCGTGGGAAGGGAATTTAAAGATCATCTTATTCCACAGAATCACAGAATAGTTTGAGTTGGAAAGGACCTTAAAACTCACTCAGTTCCATGGGCAGGGACACCTCCCACTATCCCAGGTTGCTCCAAACCCTGTCCAACCTCGTCTTGGACACTTCCAGGGATGGGGCAGCCACAGCTTCTCTGGGAATTCCATGCCAGCCCCTCCCCACCCTCCCAGCCAAGAATTCCTTCCTAATGTCTCCTCTAAATCTCTCCTCTTTCAGTTTAAAACTGTTCCACCTTGTCCCATCCCTGTCTGCCTGCGTGAAATGTCACTCCTTGCCATCCATGATGACAAAGATGTGTCATCTCTTTCTTTGTTGTCCTTTTGGGACAAGTCTTTCTCTACGTGGTCCCTTCCACAGCAGCATCAAAACAGCTCTGTTGAGAATTCCCAACGCAGAACTTCTCCCTGCTCAGCCAGAAAAAAAAGTGGAACACGGGAAGCGTAACAAGCTACAGTGAATTCTCAATTACACAGGGGAGTGGAGATGAAGGGAGTCCTATAAATGGTAACACAAGACATATTCTTCGGGCTATAAAACCATAATTGGCCATTTAGCTTTGAAAAATAAATCAATGGGTTTCTGGGGAGCAGCTGGGGGAGGGTTTGGCCTGGATTGTGCTGGTGCTTCTTGTCACTGGGGAGAGGAACCATCCCACTGTCCCAGAAAGTGGCAGAAAGGTGTTCATCTGCAATCTGGGTGATAATTGAAAGCTTTTTTTCTTTTCTTTTCTGATGGATTTCTTGGCTTCTTGCTCAGCAAGTAACGAGCCCGTGCTCTAAAAACTTGAGTGGCAGCAACCACTGAAGGAGGTTCCGTGGAATGAAGGAGACGGGACAGAGATCCCTCGGAATGTTCTCTGGGAGGTTGGTGGGTTGGGTTGGGGCAGGGTGGGAGAAGCTTTGCAGTCCCTGGGCGGTGAAATTAAGAAGAGCAATGATCAGCTGCACAGCCCAGGGAGTGGTGAGGTGGTAGGGAAGAGACCCAGCCAGGGCTTGGATTACAGATTGCCTGGAAGGGGTTATCAAAATCCCTCAGCCAAGTTTTGGCCGTGAATGTCGGTGTCACAGTTTGTCACGGGGGTGGTTTCTGGTAGGTCTGGTTTGTTTTCTTCCTGGATTGTCCCAGTAGCTTTTTGTTATATCCCCCCCCCCCCCCCCCAAAAAAAAAAAACAAACCCTCCCAGACATCAGCAAGGATTTGTCTCTTTGGGCACAAAGAAATATTGCAAAGGGGAAGTGATAGATTTTTATCTTACGTGTGGAAGCGAGTGAGGAAATCTTCCTGTGGGATTCTGACCTGCCCCCAGGGGACCAGGAGGGGCCTTTGGGTCCCCATTCTACTGGGAGGCATCTGCTGCTTGTGCTGCCAATAAATCAAAAGATTCGCCTCCCACTTCAGCATGAATAATGGATTCCAATTCCAGCCCTGCCCTGGATCCCTGCCAGGATCATGTCCTTGTGCCTCGAGGAAGGGCCCTGCTCCCTCTCATGGCAACAGCTCAGCCCCAAATGCAACCTCCTTCCCCCCACCTCTCACGGCCAGCTCAGGCTTCTGGAAGGCAGCACTAATTCAATGGGATAATTTATGGACGTAGGCTGGCTCTAAAAAACAGTTGCATATTGTCCTGGAGTGTTTACCCAACGAGAAAATAATTACTTTCAGTTAATTGTTCTCTCGGGCAGCCCCGACAAAGAGGGGCTCGCTCGCGTGAGAAGGACGTGCTGTATCCCTGCCCTTCGGAATCCCAACGCTTGGCTCCCGCTTGTCACATTCCAGCCCAGTTCTCTGGGCCTGCTGGGCTCCTGGGAGTGAAAAATATTCCTTGTAGGAAACGAAAATGGGAGGAAAAAGGGGTGAGAATCACCGAGTTCAGGGCTGGAAGTGAGAGACCTGCCGTTCTCATCTGGGCTCTGACGCCCTGGAGAAACTCATCCTCCTTCCCCACGTTTTCCAGACCTTGAAATGGGATTGTGGTGGGGACCTGCTGCAGGAGGATGCTCTGACACCACAGGGAGGGACAACAGAATGCAGCAGGAGAGGTTGATATCCAAATTTCCAACCACAAGGCCCGGTCTCCTTTCTGTCTAAAGGTTACAGGATCCTTTTGGATGGAAAAGACCCTCAAGATCAAGTCCAGCCATCAGGCCCACCAGGATGACCAGTTTGCTCCCAGTTGGAATATTGTGGATTGAATTTTCTCCCTTGGCTGTCAGTGTTTATAAACAGAGTGCAGTTTGCCTCCATTTCCTCTTTGATTTTAATGTTTGATTGGACTTCATGGCTCTGGGCCTGCAGCCGGGCTGGGATGAGGGATGAGGGAATACCAGGCACGTGCTGCTCTTGGCTGCTTTGGGGAGGTGTGTGTTGGGTGGGGGGATCCTGCTCCTCTACAGGAGAAATGGGGCTTTCTGAGTCTTTCCACCCTTTACATCCATGATTTTGGACTCCTCCCGTGCTTTTCAGCCTTCCTTCCAGGAGCCCAGAGACACTGGGAGACACCCTCGGGCTTGCTGCTTGAAATTCCCAAATTCTGGCTTGTGGGATTGGAATGGGGAAGGGGAATGAGCACCTTAGAGGGGCTGATGGACCTGCCTGAGGTTCTTCAAAGACCTTCCCCACTGTCTGGATTTTACTCCTGAGAGTGGAAAATTGTGGCAGCTGGCCATATCCCAGTGGGATTCCCTGAATTTCCACACTGGAATATTCCTGTCCTGACACTTAATTGTATTGACTTTAATAACAGCTGCATGGAAATGTCTAAATTGATAAATTTATGGACATTTACAATCCCCTGTGAGCTCAAGAAGAGTTTGGACAATGCTTTCAGGGACATAGTGGGATTCTGGGAATGTCCTGTGCAGGGCCAGGACTTGGACTGGATGATCCTTGTGGGCCCCTTCCAGCTCAGGATGTTCTGTGATTCTATGATTTTATGTATTTGTATATTTAGATATTTTAGATATCTTTATATTTAATATGTAATTATATGTAATTACATATAATTATATAGTTATATATAATAATATGCATCATTATATTATATATGTTTATATGTATTTATATATTTAACATGTTTTTAAAATTTATATATTTATTAATTTGGCTATAAAAATAGTGAATAAACACCTTGCTGGAGGGGCAGCCCCCCCAACCTGTTTTAGTCTACTAATTACACCGATTTCACTGAAAACTCTCAAATTGATTGAGTTAAACTCCTTGAGTGTGAATTTTCCTGTAACATGTTATCTGGATTTTGTCTAAATCAGGAAGTCTGGAGCTAAGGGCGTGTTCTGAGTGCTAGAAAGTTCTCATAACCTAAAAAACAGCTTATCATAAATTAAAAAAACCCCACCAGTCTGAGCCCACAGCTTGATTTGTGCTCTCTTGGGCTGCCCCAGGTGGGATCAAACGTGGGCTCTTAAATTGTGGCTTTTCGGGTGGCAACAGCACGAGGGATTTTCCTCTTTCTCAATCCCGGGGAAGTAATTCCAGAGCATTTATTAATCCTGTTGTGTTGGATTCTGCAGGAGAAGGAAGGGAGGAGGGAAGACCCCAGACCTGAGCCAACAGGCAGCTGAGAGGAAAAGGAGAGCGGGATGTGGATCCAACCAGCTCCGGAAGGAGAAATCCCCGGCAAGTATCTCCAGCCCGGAATTGGATCAACTGTCTCCATGTCATGCACTCCCAGGAATATTTGAGCTCCGAGTTTTCACTTAGGGAAGTGCTCCTGATGTAAAATCATGGAATTATAGAATATCCCGAGTGGAAAGGACCCACAAGGATCATCCAGTCCAACTCCTGGCCCTGCACAGGACATTCCCAGAATCCCACCATGTCCCTGAAAGTCTTGTCCAAACTCTTCTTGAGCTCACAGGGGATTGTAAATGTACATAAATTTATCAATTTAGACCTTTCCATGCAGCTGTTATTAAAGTCAATACAATTAAGTGTCAGGACAGGAATATTCCAGTGTGGAAATTCAGGGAATCCCACTGGGATATGGCCAGCTGCCACAGTTTTCCACTCTCAGGAGTAAAATCCAGACAGTGGGGAAGGTCTTTGAAGAACCTCAGGCAGGTCCATCAGCCCCTCTGAAGGGGCTCATTCCCCTTCCACATTCCAATCCCACAAGCCAGAATTCGGGAATTTCAAGCAGCAAGCCCGAGGGTGTCTCCCAGTGTCTCTGGGCTCCTGGAAGGAAGGCTGAAAAGCACGGGAGGAGTCCAAAATCATGGATGTAAAGGGTGGAAAGACTCAGAAAGCCCCATTTCTCCTGTAGAGGAGCAGGATCCCCCCACCCAACACACACCTCCCCAAAGCAGCCAAGAGCAGCACGTGCCTGGTATTCCCTCCTCCCTCATCCCAGCCCGGCTGCAGGCCCAGAGCCATAAAGTCCAATCAAACATTAAATCAAAGAGGCAATGGAGGAAAACTGTTTATAAATAGATATTTATAAATCATCAAGGGGGACCTGCCGTGGGTGGGGAAGGGACAGTGACTGTCGGTGTGTGGACAGTGACCTCGTTCCCTGCCCCTCCCTTTCTCTGCTCCACTTCCACGCTTTCCACAAAGCCCTGGCACAATTCCCTCGGGACGAATCCCTTCCCAAAGCTTCCCTGCTTTGCCCACAGCTCCCGGTGGCAGCGGTTTGTCGCTCGGTTGTCGCCGAGCTGAGCCCCAGCAAAGGTCTGGCACTGAGGCTTCTTTGTGCTCCGGGTTGGAAAAATAGGGCATCCCCTCCATCAGAGGAGCCTTGGGAAGTCTGGCTTCCAGAAAACTCCATGGGGTTGGGTTTTTTTTGTGGATGTGGAAACGAATAACTGCTGGAAGAGGGACGTGCTCACGGGCGTGTCAGGGGCTTTCGGGAAGCAGATCTGGGAATGTGTTTTTCCACGAATGCCAGGGAAGGGGTTGGAGGTTTTGCATAAAAGACAGGCATTGTCTCCAGGGATGGGGAGGCTCCTCCCGACCCAAATAAGCCTGTTTGCAAGGAAAAGCATTCAGTCGCTGTTAAATGATATAAATAATGATGATTATAATTATTCAGCCCTTGTCTTACAGTTTCCACTCTCCAGTGGTTCCCTCTGATCCGAGCGTCCTGCCACGGATTCATCCCACCACATCTCCCACTTTCACGTTTAAAGCTGTTTCGTTGTCAGTCCCGAAGAGAAAAAAAAAAATCTCAGTTCAGGCCTAAAATAAGTTAATTTGATTCTTTCCCCCCCAGATTTTACCAAAGTTATTGCTCTTCAAAGTTAATGAACCTGAGCAGGAAGGCACAATCACCTTGGGCTGGAATTCCAAAGGCTTCTGTTCCTCCTGATTTTAGAGTTGTCCACGTTCCAGTAGAAGAGCTGTGCTTTTTATTCTCACACAAAACCTCCTTTAATGACAGCAGCACTATGAGACAATAAAGCTGAGGTTACACCAGGCTGGTGCATAGAAAAAGAATATAAATATATATATAAATATAATTCACCAGGAATAATGCAAAATTAATTTCCATTTGTTATTAAAGCAGCATTGGAAAACCTTGCTGAAATGAAGACCTTTGAAAAGGCTCTTATTTAATCAAGTCCAAATAAAGAGGCTTAATGTGCAAATCTTTCAGTAAATCCTTAGAAGAAAAAAAAGAGACCATGATGAAAGAATAAGTGCCCAAGGCAGGCAAACATCAAGTCAAATTAAAAGGCAGCCCTTGAATAGATCAGTGATTCAAGTGCAGAAAGTAGGTGAGAATAAAGTGAATTACAGCTAATAATAAAGATGGAAAAAGGGTTATTAGAGGGAGCTCCCGGCTCAGGAGGCAACAACACACCAAAATGGAATAAAAACACCTAATGAAGGTGATGACCCAAGTCCTGGAATTGCATCCACCGGCTCCACGTTTGCATGGGGTGAATCAGTTCTCCCCTGGAAAACCTGGGAGGTTTTGGAGTTTATTAGTGATTGTGGAAAGCACAGAGTGCGACCACTTCATTTAGAATAAATTAAAGTAAATTAGCTCAATTACAAGGAATAGTAAATTGCAGTGGATTAAGTTAATTAGGGCTGTGAATGAATTAGGGCCACGTTCCTTCCTAGGGATGCACAGGAACCCCCCCTCGTGTCTCTTCAGTGGGGAGAGAATTGATGTTTGGAGTAAAAATCATATTTATAATGGGCAGAAGATGAAGATCCAGGGCTCCCAGCACCCACACATGGTCCTGCCCAATGTACATTTATCTTCTGCAAACCCTATTTTCAATTTTATTTACTCAACATGATAATGTTTGTTCACTATTCTTACCAAACAATTCGTATCAGCCTGAAAAACCCAAGTTGTTGGTCAGAATAACCTGTGGGTTTTTTTTAATCTTTGGGGATCTTCCTCAAGGAATAAACTCTGATATTAAGATATTATTATTATTATTATTATTATTACTAATAATAATAATAATAGAATTTTGATCTTCTGTTAAAATAAATTTCACCCTTTACACTTCCAAACACCAAGCAAGGCTGGGATCAGACACAGCCACGTGCACGGGGGGAGGGGGGGAAATTGGGGGATTAACGTCTGAATTGCTGTGGAGAATTAATTAATTAATTAATGTGGCTTCAGCTTTACTGGCATCACTTTCTAGTGAGGTCCTTTTGTCCTCAAGGTAAACTTAATCCCACAGCACAGGCCACTGCAAGACCTCGTATCATCTAGGGATAAAATGTGTAGAATGTGTAGAATTTGTGGAATTTCTCAGTGGATTCCAAGCTTTCCAGTCCCTCTGAAGCTGTTGGGATGTTGATGTTGTCTTCTCTTCCCAGATATGGCTTTCTGCAGATCCTGAGTATCTTCCAAAGCCACCAGCTCGTCCCAGCTGGGCCGCCCATCGCTCCGCTGGGAACCTGCCCCCCAAGGCAGCGGCAAAGGCCCTGGCCCAGAGCTCCCAATGGAACGCCGGGATACGACCGGCACCCGTCCGAGCTCCACGTGGGAGAGGGACTGGAGATGTCACCAGGATGGAGAGCAGAGCTCCATGTCAGTAAGGTGTCCTGTCCCATGGGGAGGCTGTTCTAGAGCCTGGCAATATCCAGATCGCGGAATTGTAGAATGGTTTGGGTGGGAAGAGACCTTAAAGACCATCTTGTTCCACTCCCCTGCCATGGGCAGGGACACCTCCCACTAGCCCCAGGTTTCTCCAACCTGGCCTTGGACACTCCCAGGGATCCAGGGGCAGCCACAGCTTCTCTGGGCAACCTGTGCCAGGGCCTCACCACCCTCCCAGCCAGGAATTCCTTCCCAATCTCCCATCTCTCCCTGCCCTCTGCCAGTGGGAAGCCATTCCCTGTTTCCTGCCCCTCCATCCCTTGTCCCAAGTCCCTCTCCAGCTCTCCTGGAGCCCCTTTAGGCTCTGGAAGGGGCTCCAAGCTCTCCCTGGATCCCTGTGTTCTCCAGGTGAACCCCCCCAGCTCTCCCAGCCTGGCTCCAGAGCAGAGGGGCTCCAGCCCTCGGAGCATCTCCGGAGCCTCCTCTGGACTCGCTCCAGCAGCTCCACATCCCTCTGCTGTTGTTCCCAGAGCTGGAGGCAGCTCTGCAGGTGGGGTCTCACCTGAGGGGGCAGAGGGGCAGAATCCCCCCTCCCCTGCTGTGGGATGAGCCCAGGACATGGGGGGTTTCTGGGCTGGAGCTTGTTGAGCTTTTCATCCACCATCACCCCCAGGTCCTTGTCCTCAGGGATCCTCTCCATCCCTTCGTCCCCCAACCCGTGTCTGTGCTTGGGATCAAGCAATCCCGCTGTCCTTGTCACCAGCAGAGCTGTTACATTTAGAGCCCAGAGGGAAGGAGGTGACACTGGCTGTGGGGGAAGGACAGGGATGGTGGGAATGCCGATGACAGGGATTTGCTGCATCGGAAGAGAACTTACGGCCAGAGATGTCACATCCAGCACTTCCCAAACCCACCTGTCCCAGCTGTCATCTTGGAATGAACGTTGGCACGGGCTCCACATGGGTTTAACTCACCAACACTGCCTGGCAGAGCAAGAGATGTGGCCCTGGGCTCCCTCCAAAGTCCAGGGACTCTGCCAGGTCCTGGAGAGAATCCGGGAGGAGCTGGTGTGTTTGGGTTGGAACCAGAGCCCTCAGCAAATTCCAGCACAGAGCAGTGAACACCAGGCAGAGAACAGCTGAGGAAGCAGCTGATTGAGGAATGCCTCCCAAAAATAAGGAGATGGAATGACACCATCCCAAAGAATCTTGTGCCGTTTCAGTGTGAGCTTGGCTTGGGAAACTCTCCATGTCTCCCGAAGGTCCTCAGTCTCTGCAGCCCCCTGGGAAAGTCTTTTGGGTACCTTTGAGGAGCACCAACACTTGTGCAGGTTTTGGTGAAAGTCCTCTCGGTTCACAAGTGGGTTTTAATGGCTTAATTATGGCTTTAATCCCATAAGGATTAAAATCTGTGACCCCTGAGGGTTTTTGGTTGTGCAAGAAGGATGAAGAACCTGGAGGGAACAATGGAAAATAGGATTCTGATGGGACACTGCTGGGATTTTCGGGGAGATCACAGAGGTGGAGTGGGCAGAGCTCCTACAAGGCAACAATTGTCCAGTAATTATTGGTGATCCCATCTAGAAGGGAGATGATGGAGCACATGGAAAGCTCCGGCATCCCTCTGGATCTCCCTGGAATCCTGCATTTTTAGCAGGTCCATAGGCTCCTCCATCTCCATGAGGAGGAAGTGAGTGATCACAAATCCTCCTGTGGGAGATGAAAGGATCTAAACACAGCTGAAGGGGAAAGCACTGGGATGAGAAAGATTGGGTTGGATATAGGATTGGATATTGGGAACAATTCCCTCCTGGAAAGGGTTGTCCAGACCTGGCACAGCTGCCCAGGGCAGTGGTGGATTCCCATCCCTGGAGGGATTTAAACTCCCTGTGGATGTGATGCTTGGGGATATGGGTTAGTGATGGTCTTGGAAGTGCTCAGGGAATGATTAAACTCAATCTTGGAGCGGTTTTCCAACCTAAATGATTCCATGATTCCATGAGTGAGGCCTAAGGAAAACACACAAAGACTTCTCCATGTGGGAAGCGGGACATAAATGCATCCGGGCCATAAAAGCATCAGGATCAGGCCAGAGGCTCACAGTCCCTCCCAGTGCTAAAGCCAGACAAGGTTCCTACAAAATAGGACCCTCATCCTGGAATTCCATCGCCTGGACAGAGCTGTGGGAATGTTGTGAGCTGGATTAGAGCCAAGTCATCCAGAGTTAAGTGCAGGCTCTGGGCCTTGGATGCGGTGTTGGCTGTTCCAGTCAATCCAGGGAATTCTGCTGGTCTGGCAGCAGGGTTGGGATGGCTTCCCAGGAATTCATTGCTCGGCTCCAGAGGGAATGGGAATGGGAAGAAGGTGTTTGAGTGTCTGAGCTTCTGGGAATCAAACTCCAAGTGCTGCTGGCAGAGAGGATGTGGGAGCACAGGGAATTCCTGCAGGGATGTGGCCACCCAGTGACTGCTACTGGTGCCAGAAAGGTGGAGGGAACTGGTGCCTGCCGGGATGTGCCGTGTCCGGCCTCGGCTGCAGCTGAATTCCCTCTGCATGGCAGGGAATTCCGTGCCTGAGGAAAGGGTTAGTGGGGAAGCAAACTCCTTACAAACACCACTGTGGTAAAAAAATCCCAAGGAAATGATCCCTGAGGGATTGCATTTGGATGAGGGGCAATTTGCAAGGCAAAACTATGTAATTTTTTTTTTTGTATCAGAGAGAGACAAATCCCATCTTAATTCCTTCGGTGACCTCTCCAGGACCTTTGTGAACTCTGCCAGGCTTTTCCTGAGGTAAACTTTACCTGGGCTTTGCCAGGGAATGTCTGCAGATTGCCAGGAAGTGGCAGGAAAAGTCAAGATGTTTTGATTGATGCTGATTTTCTCTATAATGAGATGACGGAGGGAAATAATCCAGATTTGTAAAGGTATTTGAGGTATTAAATGCCACCAAAATCCCAAGGATTGGCTGAGCACCTAAACAGGTTTAGAATGTGAATTCTCTGCCTGAGTTAATCTGATCCTGACGTTATTTCTCCTCCTTCCAGCATCTCCAGTGTTTGAGGCTCAGCCCTGGCACATTCCTGCATCCAGCCAAGGATCCGACTCGGAATGAGGGAGGATCCAGAGTGTCCCTTCATCCAAGCTGGACAGAAACTTCTCTGCCTGGCAGTGGGAAAACAAAATGTTGCTGCTGGTCTTTGGGATCTCGACCTGGTTTCCTGTTGCTGGCGCCTTATCCTCTTTTCCTTCTGGATGTGTCACCTCTGAAATGTTCACTTGGAATTTTGACCGTGGCGACACTTGCTTGGATCCTTTCTAGGCCTGCTGGACCTCCTGTGAGCTTTTCTATGGATCATTTGGACAAATCTTAGGGCACATCCCACAGCCTGAGCTGCTCTGTGATGCTTTGCCAGGGAATCACAGGAGTTGTCTGGCTCCGTGGGCACCGATGGGATTCTGGAAGATGAGGGATGACTTCCAGCCATTGGAATTATGGAAATTCCACCCTCCCTACAAATTGAGTGCTTTACCACCAGCACTACCACGATCCTTCAGCTGCGACCTCCAGCTCCTGCCAAATCAGCTGGAAAGCACCAGGCTGGGCAAGGGAAGAGTGTGGAAGAAAGGAGAATCAAGGAAAACGGTCCAAGAAAAACCCAGTTAGGGCTGTGCTGGAAACAGAATTTCTCCCTCGTGTTGAACAAGGCAAATCCATCTTTTCAATCGTGTCAGTGAGAAGGAAATCAAATCCCACACTCTGGATTGCAGCACACGGATCCGTGTGGGGAGCTGGCACTTGTTATTTAGGAGGATGTAAATCATGGGCTGTTAATGGGTTTTTTTCTGGGATTAAGGAATTTCCCAGTAAATTCAACAAATAGCAGTTTTTAAGGATAAGGGGATTGAATGCTCAGCATCTGTAACTCATTGCCTGATCATATCCCAGGGTGAGAGAGCTGGGATAAAACTGAACCTTTCCGGGTGTTGGGAAGAGTCACAGCACGCCCAGGAATCCTCAACATTTCACATTCCAGAGGGAATGCCAAAATCCCAGAATCATTAAGGCTGGAAAAGACCTTCCAAATCATCAAGTCCAACTATCAACCAGCACCACCTCCATGTTCACCCTTAAACCGTGTCCCCAGGTGCCACATCCACGTGTTTTTGAAGATTTCCATGGATGGGGACCGTTCCAGTGCTTTACAACCCTTCCCATGAAGAAACTGTTCCCAAAATTCCTCCAAATCATTGATGAGGCAACTCAGTGAGTCTCCCTCTCCCAGACTTTGGTATTTCCTTTTCCCAGTTGTCCTGGATGCTTGGAAGGATGAGTTCATCTCAAAAAACACGACAGCCTAAGAACTAATAAGCCTGAGCTGTCACCTCTCAAAGGATCAGCTGAACTAGGAACTTGCAGACGGGAATTATATCATGGATTTTAGGATCTGTTGATTATCTGTTGACTAATGAATTTTGATTTGGAAGGGCCAGTTGTTGAGCAATTGAAGTGAGATGGGGCAAATCCCACCCAAAGCATTCATCAGCATCATTCCCAAATCTCTCCTCACAAGCCTTTTTTTTTATTTCCCAGGAAACCAAGGTAAAGGGATTGCTCCATGGGTGCTTCCTTGGCTTCTTAAGGAGCTGTTCCAGCTCTTTTTCTGGTCTCCACGAGGCAGCAGTTGATCCACAAACAGCAAAAACCTACCCAAGGAAAGGATGTAACCCTGCAGCGATGCTTTTCCTTTCTCATCGATGACCACATTCCCTGGAATCATCCAGCTCCCAGGGTCCTGGAGGTGAGTCCTGGACATCACCGTGCCTTTGCTGCAGCAGATCATGTGTCTTAAGTGCTCAATGTACATTTTCAACCTCAAACCTTCCCTGATTTATAAAGTTTTTGTAGTTCTGATGCCGTAAAATAACAAACAGGGACGTGCCAAGCCAAGGAGATTATCCCTGGAATAACAGCGGAGCTACACAACGCCCTGGTGGGATCCTATTAATCAGAATTAAATCATATATATTTGAAATATATCGTGTGTAATGTACTGTGTGCAAAGTAAACACACCTTACGTCATTCCTGAGGTCACAACACGGGGCAGAATCTGAAATGGAGAGAAATAAAATCCAGAGGGAGAGTCTCCATCACCTGGGAGCTGCTGGAAGCCACATCCCCCCGGGGCTGCTGATCTGCAGGGGCAGGTGGTTGCTCCCCCACCTTTGTAGCGTTTCCAGATCTGCGGAGAAGGAATTGCCAAACCAGAACAGAGGGAGGCGGTTGTGCCCTCGCCCTTCCTCGCAGATGCACATTTCCCAGCCCTGCCCGGCGTTCCCTGATCCTGCCCCGTGGATCTCATGAGCCACAGCCTTTGACTGGAGAACTGAAGGTGCCTTTTGAAGCCCAGAGGCCACTGAATCAGCTGAATTCCAGCGGCACGAGCAGGATCGGGATGGGAGCCGCCGGCTACAGCCCTGCTCAGGTGTGGGGGAGCAAAACCCCCCAATCCAACCCCATCCCTGCCCAAAGCTCCACCTGCAGTGCCCTGGTGTTCCCGGCCCGGAGCGACGGCACGTTTGGAGTTCGGCTTTGCAGCCAAAATGAAGTTTTCCTAATTCTTGCTCTTGTGGGTTAAAGAGACAGGAAGTTGGGAAAGGGAATGTGTGTAACTGGAGTTGATGGGAGCTGCAGGTTGGGTTGGAGCGAGGATTTTTGGAAATGTCCAGCCTTTGTGGGGAGGTGGGAGATGAGCCGCTGCCAGGGAAGTGGGAACATTTGGAGGGGGGAGTCTCAGCAGTGGCTGAGGGATAATGGATGAAAGGATGGCTGTGGAAGAGCGGGGAGACCTTGTGGCAAAGGGAAAGCAGCCAGTGAGAGGAGATAAATCAAGATTAAAAGTTGCTTTAATCAGTGGATGGAGCTGATAAGGAACAGAGAGCAAAGCTCAGGTCAGTAAAGAAGGGCTGAGATGAGGAGGCAGCCACAGGGTGTGAGGGGTTGTTTTTTGGGAGGCAGAGGGATATGGGAATTGGTTTGGAGTCCGTCACCTGGTCCCTGATGATGTGTTTGTTGTAAAATGAAAATGAATTAAAAAATAAAAATAAAATAAAAATACAGCGAAAGTAAGAAATAAAAAGTAAAACATAAAATAAAAATTAAAAATTAGTTACTAAATGAAATTAAAATAAATAATTTTTAAATGAAATAAAAATGAAAGTAAATAAAAATAAACAATAAAACATAAAATAAAAAATTACTAAATAAAATCAAAATCAAAATGAAATAAAAATAAATTAAAAAATTTAAAAATTGAATAAAAATTAAAAAATTACTAAATAAAATAAAAATTGAAATATAAATAAATAAAAAAATAAATTACTAAATAAAATCAAAATAAAAACTAAAATTAAAATTAAAAAGAAATAATAAAAATAAAAATAAATTACTAAATAAAATAAAAATTAAAAATAAAACCAAAAATTAAATAAAAATAAAATAAAAAATAAAACTTAAAATAAAAATAAATTAAAAATAAAACAAAAAATAAAAATAAAATAATAATTAAAATAAAAATAAATTACTAAATAAAATAAAAATTAAAAATAAAACAAAAAATTAAATAGAAATAAAATAAAAATAAAACTTAAAATAAAAATAAATTAAATTAAAAATAAAAATATAAACAAAAAATAAATTAAAAATATAAGTAAAATAATAGTAATAAAATAAATTATTGTGCACCTCACACAGGTATCCTGCCTGTCCCATGCTCCATGCCATCCTCAAAAACATCCTGCAGCTGAGTTCCGTGTGGAATGTGCTCCACCAAACAACTCAGGGGCAGGAATTGCTGTAATTCCAACTGACCAGACACACAGACAACCCCTGAGTGCACCTGGAATGTCCCCTGAGGCACAGCAGCTGCTGGAATAGGTCTGGGAAGGTGATGGCAGCAGATGCAGGGCTGGGGAGATGCTTGGGAACAGCCCACATCCCAACACAACCCCTTTCCAAACCATGGGATAAATTGCTGGTTGGCACAGGACGCTCTGGAGACCCCCGGGGAGGCCAAACCACAGGCACAGGCAGGTCCAGGCACTGCAGGGCACTCCCAGCACATCCCGTAGGAAGGAAACTCAGTTCAAGCTCTCCAAAAAAGCCCTGGAGGCAGGAGGTTGCAGTGGGAGCAGACGGTTTAAATCCCATTTTCGACATGTTCCATGCCAGGATCTGGTGGGATGGTGCCAAAGCCACCCAGGGAGGGGAGGAAGGCGGGATGATCATGGACAGAGGACCGTGTGCCCTTTTCCCTTTCCCTTTTCCCTCCCTGAAACCCCTGCTGGCCCTTCAGTCCCCAGGCACACACCAGTCCTGACTGTGATCCCAAAAATCCTCATGTCAGCCCACAGACCCAGAGGTTTCCAGGGAAAGCTTTTTACCAGCCCACAAACCCCAAGACCAGGTCCCATGGCCATTTCCAGCATCTCCCTTCAGTTTTATCTATCATTTGGTGGGTTTTTTTTAATTTTGGAGACCTGTTTTTCCTCGCTGCCTGTTCTCTCCCCCTCTGCAGCCCTGTTGTTTCATCTCCCCTCTGCTCACAGGCAGGTTCCTCATCCACCAAAATCCAGAGGTTGACCAGGACACCACCAGCGAGGAGATTTGGGAGCTGGTGGCACCAGCAAGGCCCTGGCTCACAGCAAAAACCAAACAAAAGCAGGTAGTTCCCCACGTGGGATGTAAATCAGCTTTGGAATTCTCTGTCTCTGGAAGCTGTAGATGTTAAAGCTGATGTGGACTCTAGAGGCCACCAGAGATTCATGGGAGAATTCCAAGCTCATTTTATAAGAATTTGGGCTGGAAGGGACCCCAGGAGGTCCCAGGTGGCTGAGGGTCTTCAAATCCTCCAAAGGAGGAGATGACACAACTTCAGGCAACACACTGTGACACTTAAAGAATCATGGAATGTCCTGAGTTGGAAGGGACCCACAAGGATCACCCAGTCCAACCCCTGGCCCTGCACAGGACACCCCAACAATCCCACTCTTCCCCTGTTGTCCAAATGCTCCTGGAGCTCTGGCAGCCTTGGGGCCGTGCCCAGTGCCCTGAGGAGCCTGTTCAGTGCCCGACCACCCTCTGGGGGAAGAACCTTTTCCTGAGATCCCCTCGGCTGGTCTGGTGATGAAAAGATCCCTCCTTACTCCCA